ATGTTCTGTTTATGAGTTTTTACGGTTCTGTAGATATATCCAGGCGCATAGTTTCCTATGATAGGTTGGAGAACCTTTTCTTTTGCTTGTTTGTTGACAGTGGCGATCAATTTATTAATGTCTGTTTTTAGTGTTTTTGTCGGGTCAGCTCTAATCCTCTTAAACTTGCTATTGTCCGATAGAATGGCGTCCAATTTTGTCTTATATTCCTGTTTGTCCATGATCACTATATATATAATAAAATGGCAGAAAAGTAAAGTAAACATTAAAAAGCATTGACTTTAAATTTTTATGATAATTTGTAAATGCTCATGTAAACGATTTTCTTATTGTGACATCTCCTATGCTACATGGACTTTCAGAAAGCATCTTGATGTTAAACAGTGATCAATAAATTTCTCGATGCTTGTTACACAACCAAAATTATATTCACAGTTTTTATTTTCTTAATTAATTTTTAATTAACAACTTTTGTTTTGTTCTTGCTCGTGGTTAATGACCTGTGTGTGAAGGGTTGGAGGTGCACACAGCATTACTATATGTAGCAAGATACTACATGAAAATGAAGAAAAACACTCATTAAAAACAGAAACTAGGTGATAAAGTACTGGTTTCTGTGTTTCAGCTACAAATTGTGAGATTTGAACACTTCAGGATGAGAAGTCAAGTGTGTGGTTGGTAAAACCTACCACAAGAGTTTATATAACAATTCTACCAATTAATGTCGATCAATTTTAATATAAAAGTGCTTACAGCTCCTGTAAGTTCCAGTTAATATTAAGGCTGATTCTTATTACGCAATACAACTCTTAAATATCAAACCATTTAAATTTTATTAACTTTTTTATTCCCATTACCAATTCAAAATTTTATTTTGGTAAAATTCCCATGTCAGAAATGTTAATGCTTCGACAAAAGTTATAAACTGTTTCATTGCAGAGAAGACATAGTAAGTTTGAGAACTTTATTGGATTGCCATTTTAGTTTCTATATTGAGGCCTCAGTATAGAAGCTGAAGAGTTGTCTTCTTTTCACAGAGAGTCCCAAACCTACTAAGGACTATAAACTGATTATCTGTGGGCAATAGAGAGCTAAATTATTATTAGATGGATAAGTTAAGTACAGTTTATGACCATTTTACAGCTTCAGCATACAGTCACCAAGGGTGGCCAATTCATGTCACCTGACACCCAGAACAAAACAATTTGATTCAGGGAAAAGTTTCACCATTACACTTAACCCTTCAGGCAAGTACTTCTTATTACTTGGAAATTACTGTCGCATATGTATTATAAGACAAAAATCAACAATGATGCATGTGTATACATGGCTTAGATGCTGTGCCCCCGCCTGTATGTGCTCCACCATTTCCGTAT